TAATAGTGTGAGGTCCAGTATCACATTATGCTGATGATTCCCAGGTTGGATGGTGATGCCAGTGAACTCCTATCCTAATACATGTTGGGGCGGGGGCTGGATGGGAGAGAACAGACTTAAATTGTTACTGTATGTCCATCAGGACTCTGGGTCTGCATGACTGATGTTTTCTCTTTTTTTTGATGGAGTGGCATTACTCTTGAAGGAGGAGGTCTGTGACTTGGGGCTCCTTCTGGACTTGTAGTTGTAAGTTGAGGACTATTGGTACCAATTGTGGCCCTATCTGGGTTGAGAAGAGCTTGCTATAATGATTCATGCCCTTGTCACCATCCATTTAGACTATTGCAACATACAGGAAGTCCTCAATTTACAACCATAATTGAGCCCAAAATTTCTGTGGCTAAGTGAGATATTTGTTAAGTATCCCGAGGTCATGTGATCACCTTCTGACAAGCAAAGTCAATAGGGAAGACAGATTCATTTAACAACCATGTTACTGATTTAGTTAAGTGAGTTTTGCCCCATTTTATGACCTTTCTTGCCACAGTTATACAGTGAATCACTGCAGTTGCTAAATTAGTAACACTGTTTTAATTGAATATCTTCCCCATTCACTTTGCTTGTCAGAAGTTCGCAAAAGATGGGGACTTCTGGTTGGCATCGCGGCGATCCTGACGGGGGAAACAGCGGGGATCTAAGGAGCCCCACGAAAACCCCGTCTGTTAAGCTCCGCCAGCAGGTCTATGGACCTACCCTGTCCTGGAGGGACAGGGGGTAAGAGAGGGACCCTTCGGTCACCCGAGAGGAATGGGCAGGTTCCTCAGGGCCGGAGGATTATCCTCTGCGTCAGCGGCGGCTGAACAGCAGCCATGGAGGCTGCCTCAAGGCTGTGACAACTAGGAAAGCAATGTGCGGGAGGAGAAGCAAGGAAACAGAGCAAACTGTTTGGAAGCCAGGTGAGTTTTACCCTGGCGGGAACAGCATTAAAAAATGGATTTTGACAAGAGAGCCCTTAGCCTTAAATAGCGGCTACAGACTGGGGGGGGGGGGCAAGAAAATTTTAAGCTATGTGCTGGAGGAAGAGACCCATTTGTGAACTATCTTTAATGTGGATTTTTGTGAAATGACTGTTAGTTGGCAACTATAAAACTTCGAAACTTTTCATTATGGATATGGATTGCTTTTGGAGAGACAAGGAGGGAGGAGGCGTTGAGCAGAAACCTTTCGAAACAATCGGAAAAGTCAAGCGGAGAATTGCATATTGGCTAAAATGGAGTCGTGTCGTGGAGAAGTGAAAATTTAAATTTGTGGATTACTTTCGGTTTGACTCAGACACAATGTATCTTGTTACCTAAGCTGGTTTATTATGAAAACAATTAAGGAGGTTTAACTTTGGGGATTTTTAATTTGTTCTTTGGTGGTATTAAGGAAAGAAAGAAGAAAGAAGAAATGAAAAGGAACAATCTAAACTGATTAAGCAGATGTAAGCAGAGGAAGCTAAAATGGTTGCCTATTAAGAAGAAATGAAAGTGTAAATTGTGGACTGCTTGCTACTTAAAGGAGAAACTTTTGCTTCCTAAATTGGATTACCTTGAAGAAAAACTAAAGAGGTTTGACTTTAGATGCACTTAATTTGACTCTGGACTACTTATGGATGGTTGGAAATAAGGAATTATCTGGAACAATTAAAACTGCTGATTAATGGTGTACCAATAAAAGGGAAGGATGTAGCAGTGGAAGAAGACAAGATGATACCGTGCATGGAACACAAAAGAACTAAGTCTTTTAGTCTCTACAAGATTACTGATATCGGAATCGAAAAGGAAAAAAAGAGCTTGGACAGAATAGAGAAAGGGAAAAACTGGAATATATTGGGTAGCAAGATGAGAAAAGCGCTATAGTCTGATTAAGATGGATGTAAATGCTTTCTACGTAATTGATGTTTAAATAATGTAAGGAGGAAATATCCTCTTTCTTCTTTTTCTCTCTTTTTTATTTTTCTTTTCTTTCTTTTCCCTATTCTTTTATCTTATTCCTCTCTTTTTTCTTTTTTTTTTTGAATCTTTCTTCTTAATTTTTTCTTGCCATACTTTTATCCCTTTTTTCTCCCTTTTTCTTTCCCTTTTTACTTTTCATTATTATTATTGAGAGAAGTGGTTTTTAAGGTGGGAAAAATGTGATTATAGAAGAATTATGGTAAATATGAAGACAATGAACGAATTTTTGATTGTCAACAAGAATTGCTGATAGATTTAATAACTACAGAAAATTGGTTTTTTTTTAAAGGGTTTGTGAATGAAGCTTTGAATATTAACAAGAATTGTTTATAGAGTTTATGACTATTTTTTAAAGCGAGAAATGTTGCCATAGAAAAACCATATGTGAAAACTACGGAAATTTTTTTTTTTTTTTACAAAATATTAATAAGAGTCTTAATGGTTACAGAAAATTGATTCTAAAATTGATTAAAATATTGTTTTTTTATAGTAAATAAGAGAATGGGAATGAATTTTTGAATAAATTTAAAGAAAATTAATAGTTTAGGAGAGAATAGGAGAGAAGATAGATATTAAAATGTATCATTATTTTTAATTGGTAAGTTAAAATAAAATGCTATGAATCAGTTAATTAAATGAAAATTAGGAGTGAAAAGTATAATTTGGGTGATTAGATGATTAAAACTAAACTGTGAATTAGTCAAGTATAAGATTAGGAGTGGAGGAAAGTATCCCTGAAGAACAGCTGATTAAGCTGTGAACCAGCTAAAAATAAACCTAGGAGGAGTAGAGGAGATAATACTGGGGAGCAGTTAGAGCTAAACTGTGAACTAGTTAAATATAAGGTAAGGAGTGGGGAGGTAAGCATCCCTGGAAAACAGCTAATTAAGCTGTGAACCAGCCAAAAATAAATTTAGGAGGAGTGCAGAAGATAATACTGCAGAGCAGTTAGAGCTAAACTGTGAACCAGTTAAGTATAAGGTAAGGAGTGGAGGTGAGCATCCCTGGAAAACAGCTGATTAAGCTGTGAACCAGCCAAAAATAAACTTAGAAGGAGTGGGGGAGACAATGCTGGGAAGCAGTTAGAGCCAAACTGTGAACCAGTTAAATATAAGGTAAGGAGTGGAGGTAAGCATCCCTGGAAAACAGCTGACTAAGCCGTTATCCAGCTAAAAATAAAACTAGGAGGAGTGGAGAAGAAAATGTTGGAGAGCAGTTAAAACCAAACTGTGATCCAGCCATTAAATAAGGTTAGGAGTGGAGGGAAGCATCTCTGGAAATCAGCTAACCAAGCTGTAATCCAGTTAAAAATAAACCTAGGAGGAGTGAAGGGGATACCTTAGAAGTAAATTTTAAAGTGAATTGATTTTGAAATGTTTGTAAGAGAGGAATAAAATACTTTGTGTTGGTTTTTAGATGCAATTTTGAAGAAATACTGATTGAATTTGGGTTTTTGAAGTAAGGGAAATATATGAAATACTGATTGTTAAAATGATAAATGAATATTATAAAAAGCTGTTTAGATTTGGAATTTAAGATTTAGAGTGATACTTAATAGAATGTTAAATGTTAGAACAAGATGTTAGATTGAATGGAAAAATTGGGTTTAGAACTTTTTTTCTTACTTTTTCTTCTTTTTTTCTTCTTTAAGATGGTAATGGATAAAATTTGGAATCTATACTTATTTTATACCGGATCAAACTTTTGCTCTAAAAAGATATGTTTTATGTTTAAAATAAATTTTAAAAAATTTTCAAAAAAAAAAAGGTCGCAAAAGTTGATCACATGACCTCGGGATACTGCAGCCATCATAAATATGAGTCAGTTCCAAGCATCTGAATTTTGATCATGTGACCATGAGGATGCTGCATCATAAATGAGAAAAAAGGTCATCACTTTTTTCAACCGTTGTAACTTTAAATGGTTACTAAACGAACTATTGTTGAGGACTACCTATATTCCTTGGGTTACTTTTAAAGATTACTTGGAGATTGCAGTTGGCTCAGAATGGTGCAGCCAACGTGCTGTCATTTCCTGGTGAAAATATATTACTCCAGGCCCTACACTGCTTAACAGTAGGCTTCTGAGTATAATTTAAATGGAGCTGATCCATAAAGCTCTACATGGCTCAACATCAAGTTATTTGCAGGACTGCCTTCTCCCACTGGAATTGGTCTAGCCAGTACATTCTACCCTAATAAACTATGATTGTTCCCCAGTTTAGGGAGGTAAAGGAGCTGATTTATGTAATAAACTTCAGTTGTTAAAAAGCAGTAACATTTCCATCCATTTTTTTCCTTTGATAAAAACCAGCATTGATTTTGAAAGTGTAATTGTCAAATTGCCCTTATTGTAAAACAAATTATGCAATTGCCTAAAGTCCTAAACATTTTAAGTTTTTGCAGTAGATTTCAAATGACTGAATATGACAACTGTATGTGCTTTTCCTTCAGCCTTGTACTAGACTCTGAGTTAGGCAGGTTTGTTTCATAAAATATACCTTCAAATTACATTTTTACTCCAGAATTCTGTATACATATTGACAGTATTACTATTTTAGGCTAATTTATGGCAAATCTTTCAAAAATGGTCAGTGCTCATCCCATACATATATCTGCATTATTCCTCAGTGTCCTATGAACAGTGAAATATTTTCTCTTTAAAATTTTCTCTTTTTCTAAAAGTTCTCAACTCATTGTCTGGAAGCAATTTTCAACTCTCAAATATCCAAATAGCTATTATTCATATGCTTTATTTACAAGATCATGTAAGCAAAAAGGCAAGGATTGGCAAATAATATATAATGATGACATATTCCTGATTACATTTTTTTGCATTCTTCTCTATTATGCAATTATGGGGATAAACTGAAAAATTGAAAACTCCCTAAACTGAAAAACTTCATAAAAGATATCAGGTCAATATAAAAATATTTTTGCATGTAAGAGTGACACCTATTGGTTAATTTAGAGATGTTTAAGTGACACACATGTACAAACTTCATACTTTCATGAAGTGATATTTATTAAATGGATTAATGCATAATTTTACAGCAAGCCTTTCCCCTCTCCACAAACCCCCTAAAGGATAGTTTTTAAATGTTCTGATCCATTATTTTCATTAAAACAGTCTGTTTATTCAGATTCATATATCACAAGGCATTTTGTTACAAGAATTCATAGAAAACTCTAAATTGGCTTTCAGTAATGTCAGCTTTCTTAGTGGCCTCAATAAAACATTTTTAAAAAAGCAATAAATGTAATTAAGTCACATCCTGTAATACACAACTTAAATAGCATAGGAAAATATTGGGCAGTTTATACAAAAATAATAAAACTAATAGTTATAAACTGGCTATTTCAGCAGTAATGTGGGAGACAGTACAATAGGACTACAATATGACAACTAGCATTCTTCAACTCATCTTACTTTCTAGAAATATTTGGGTGCTTGGCTATTGAAGACTGTACAGTAGTATTTTTGTAATTGGATATATATAGCTTCACATTTCAGCTTCAGTGAATGTTGTCTTGTATTTGGCTATTGTCCCAATAACATTTTTTAGAAAACATTTAATCTGAAGCAAAGAAAGGTGTGTTTCAATCTTGCATGCTGGCCAGTACATTTCCTTCAGTATAAGAAAACAAATATGCAGCACTGATATCATTTGATCTTGAGTAACCAACACAAACTAAGATAGACAAAAATTAGATATGTAATCATTCTTTTTTTGAATTTCTAGTTGCCTTTCCCATTTAATTTGGATTTTTTCATGGACAAATCTAAGCGCTGTAAATACCAAGGATATAGCTAAAAGAAAAACCATGACCATAATATTAGTACTAGACAAATGTTATATAGTAACATTTGGGGGATTTGTCAAAATCCCCCAAAATTAAAATAAACACTCTGAACTAAGTGCTCTAAAAAAATCTGGAAAAAAACATTTTTTTGACAAAGTCAGAAGAGGGCACTCTCAGATTTCTAACTGCATTTTATATATATTTATTTATTTACATGGTAGAGCCTGAGACATTCCCATTTTGGGTGTGAACAAATAGTTCCCTACTTTTATTTCTCTGTACGACTTACGGCCACAACTGGAACCAGAATTTCTGTTGCTAAGCAAAGTAGTGATTAACTGACTTGTGCCTGATTTTACAACCTTTTTTGCCACGGTTAAGTAAAACATATTGTCATTTAAGCAAATCCAACTTCCCCCATTGACTATTTGTTGGAAGCTGGCAGGGAAGGTTGCAAAGGTCAGTCACATGACTCGGGGATGATACAACTGTCATAAATTCCAAGCACATGAATTCTGATCATGTGATCATGGGGATACTGTGACAGCTATAAGTGCGAAGACTGGTTGCAAGTCATTTTTTTTCAGTGCCATAGTAACTTTGAATGGTTGCTAAGCAAATGGTTGTAAGTTAAGCACTACCTGCAATGAGGCTAGACTTCTACTTTATGTAGCATATGTCCATGAATTCATGCCGTAATAAATTTGGTAGTTTTTAAACTACCAGAATCTTTGCTTCACTTCTAATATTCTAATAGCTTTGAAAATAGATTCCCAAAGAGCCTCTGCATTGTAAGCCCTATTGAGAAGGAATAATGAAGTATCTAATAACTGAATATCTTATATAAAGGAAGGAGAATATTCTTACTTTTTGAGTAATAAGAGACCAGAATTTTTAACAGTGCTAACTATTATGTCACCGAATAAATTATATAAAACAAAATAAGAAGCAAATTGATTAAGATGGCATTTTAACCACGTCTTTTTAAATGACCCCCTTAAAATGTAGCAATATTAGACAAAGGAAAATCAATAATTCTGTCTGAATCTGTGTTTGTAATTTTAGATTTGGACTTACATATCAGAAGCAAGCATACAGGGGGCACTTGTGGGCACTTCAAGACTTTGAATGACATGCTTGAAAAAGCAAATGCTTCAGTTTAAATCTGCAAACAGGACCACTGCCTATCTTAAGTTTGAGGTGCTTTCCCTCTACAACTCAAAAGTACATCCTGAAATGGGGTACACACTTGAGCCAATAATAGGCATTCTGTAGTCCTGGCAAAATAATGACATGGATGAAACTGGAATAAGAATGACATCTGTTGAAAAAGTTCACTGAGGGCTACTGGAGCTCATACTTTTACTCTCTCTTGCCTTTGGCTTCAAAGTACATCATTTTGTGTTGATCAAGAAGCACCCAATACTTTGGCTACAAGTCTCTGGAAGCACTCTGGAACTCACAAAAAAAAACTTCAGCTTTTTCAAGTATTTAAACTGTACCCTCTAAGATCAGCCCTTTTCAGCTTAAATGACCGAACATTTACCCAATTGATGAAAAATACAAAATGATTGCTGCCTTCTCCAGATGCTGCTAAAGCAGCAGTTATAGCAAGTATGGCTCATTGCAGAGAATCTAGCCAACTCCCTCAAGAAAACTTTTTAAAAAACTGGTCAAAGAGTTCAACATGGACCCCAAATGCAAGATATGGTTTCACTTATTTTCCAAGGTCTTCGCAATTTAGATTCCACAAGCTATGATCTTAACTGTGATGTTTGAATGGACTTAAGGTAGAACAACAGAATAAAACAATAACAAGGGTATCTAAACTGGATTGCGCAACACTTTTTATCTCAAAATTGCTTGCTCAAATTCCTTTTGTTACTCTAGGGCAGGGGTGTCAAATTGGCGGCCCTCGGGCCAGATGCATCATGCACAGGCCATGTCCACTCCAGCAAAGGGGAAAAACATCACAATATGTCACATGATTGGGTTTGACACCCGTACTCTAGGGGAGAGATGAAAGCCATATATGAATTTCCTTTGCAAAAAAGAAATTAAATGAAAGTACTGACTTAGTCTAGGCTAGATGATTATATATGGTTCAAAATAAATTGTAAATTTATCAGATACTTTCAAATTACCAAGGAAAAATAAAGTATTTAGACTACTCTTTATATCACATATTTTCCTAATAAAATTAATATTTTAAAAATTGCAATAGAGAACTGAATGGTATTAACTGGAAAAAGTAATAAAAGATATACAAGTATGGTAAAAATGAAACAAATTGTTCTTCATTATAATTCTTTGATGAAATAGGCTTTATAACCTTTATATTAATCTGTTTTGTTAAAAAACAATCATGGGGAAAAATACATCAGAAGGAGTAGTGCTTAGAGATGCAGTAGATGTGCAAGGACTTACTGCTAGATTATCACAAATAATGTGGATGAAAAATTCCTTTCTCAAGCATGAACCTATTTTGAGTTCCTCCCCACAAAGTATGGGTATTCATGAGTACAACAGCTTTTGAGGAACAATGCAGAATTTTGCATTTATGCATTTTATGTTGTTCATTCAACTAAAATAAACGTGACTACTGAGCAGAACAACTTTCTACTTTCAAATGATAACAAAAGTAGCCTGAATTATCCTGTTATATCTAACACAAAATACATGCTTTTAATATTGTTCTCCATGAATTAAAATGCAATTAATGTATCTTTAATTTTTTAAAAATTCTTCACTTATTATACAATTTATACAATAAGAGTGCAATTTGTTTAACTTGCGCACTATTTTCCTTCCCCTGCATCACATTATGGGTGGGGTGGAGGTGAAATTATAGTGAAACAATGAGCCTGCCACATTAGAAAAATACATTGTCTTTGATTTGCTAAGTAATGGAATTCTGATACTATTTTATTTATTTTTGGAAATTTGTTCTTACAAAATGGCAAATAATGTACCTCATCATGCAATATTTTCTCATTCAAAATATTGATAAAGGGAAGTACTTTTTCAATAAATACTTTTCAACTGATCATTTGCTAGCAGTATAATTTTAAGAAAGAGAGCATCACATCCATAACTGTGCAAAATTAACTAAGAGCAAAATGTGTATGATACATCATATTTGGGAAACATTATAACTTATATTTTTTAACTTTTAAACTTAGGCCACTGTGTCTCAATATGAGACACAGTGAAATAATAGCCACATCTTACAGTCACTGTCAATATATTCTGATACATTTAATACCAAACAGATCTAAAGTGGAACTGAACTACTTTCAGAGACTTTTCTTTGCCCCAATATTCCCTTCTGCTTTCTTTTTAATTAGCTGCTTTTTACATTTAAATAAACTCTAGAAAATGCTTAAGAAAACATCTCATGCTTCCTGTTTTGGGGAAGTAGGGAGAGGCATCTGTCCAAAGAAAGTTTAGAAATAAAACCCACCTCTTCCCTGACCCTTTGGATATTTGAAATATAAAAAGGAAGCAGCCCGACAAATTGGGCCCATTCAGGCTAATGACATCTAGGCAATTCACTTTTCAAAATAAGACTTCCTTTTCTGATATACCCTTTTAGAATACAGCACTCTGGGGCAGCTGGAAGGGTATTTAAGTCCCACTAATCAAATTTCCTCTTGGCCTGAATATTGCTACCTTGAGAAATCAGTTTGAGAAGTGTAGGAGCTCCTACAATGTTTTTTCCACCAAAAAAAATTATAAACTTGTTCTTTAAGGCTGATTTAGGGGCTGCACAGCAATTTAGGTGGATACCTCAAAACCTGCCTTGAAAAGCTTGATTTAAGCAAGCCACAGATTCAAGCATGTAAAACTGCTCACCATGAAAGCTGACTGTGCCCCTCTCCCTCCCAGAACAGTTCAGTGTAACTTAAACGGTAAATGTTGATAAGAAAACCTAATTCTATGAATAGTTGTACAATAAAAAGCAAGCTTGAATGAAATATGGTAGGACGACAACTTTCTGTAAATGTGTTATTGCATGAATCTAGGACCAAGTCCTAAGAAAACTAGCAGCCAAGGTGTAGGTATGTTATGACTCTAAGAATAAAGGCAACATACTTTTAGAAAGATAGTAAATAATAGAATTCAACGAAAAAGAGGTGACTTTTAAAATTATTTAAAGTGGGCCATAAGAGGTTGAAAAATAGTACTAGAATAAAATTACTTCACTCAGAACATTGTCATGTTAGGTGCTATGTTGTTTGTATGTATGTATGTATGTATGTATGTATGTATGTGTGTATGTGTGTATGTGTGTATGTGTATGTGTATGTATGTATGAATCTGCCTGCCTGCATAGCAGTTGGGTTCAAGCTATGGCAAGTGTTTATACTAGTTTCAATTTAAGCAAATTCCCCTACCTATTTTCAATATAATGACCCAGAGGTTGTAATAGTCATATGCAATTATGTACGGCTCTATATATGTTCTGTATCATGGGTATCCAACCTTTTAGCTTGCCAGGGCCGCACTGAGTGAAGAGAAATAGTCCTGGGCTGCATATAAAATATATAATATAATTAATGTATATAAATAACAAACTTCCATTATTTTTAATATTTTTATTATATTTTGTGGGGTTCATTACTAGCAGTCCAAAGCTGCACGTTGGACCGCCTGTTATATATGACTTTTTCTATTGGGTGATTTCCAGAAGCATTGGATTACAACTTCTAAGATTCCTGGTCAGAACAACGAAAGACTTATAGGCTTTTGAGATAAGCATGAATCATATTCTAGAAGAATAACTAATAAAAAAAGAGGAGATGAACTGGATCCTTTCATTAAACTCTTATACGGTCAATCAGATATAGCAGGCAACTTAATGTCAATATTAAGGTAGATCATTTTGGCTGTGACGATAACCAAGGCATAGAAAGCAAGCAAATTAATCCAGGTTTTAGCTTTTCTACTTAAAAATATGCCTAAACAACCTGTACACAATGTGTTTAAGGTAAATTACAAAGATGAGACAAAAATGTATTTCCAGCAAGCATCAAAAGCATCCATTAAGGAAAAATATACATAAATACTATATTTAACTGACAAATTGCATAAACTATACCATAAGAATGACAGCCAGCCACACAAATGCACACATAAGGGGCAACATCCAACCACCCATAAGCATATGCAAGATATTTTATCTTTGCTCTCCTCTTTCCATGCCATACCACCCTTCAGTTCTGCTCTGTTTTTGTACTTCTAATTCTCACATGCATCTTGACTTGGTGAAAATAAACCATAAATCACCTATCCAAGGTAGAACTTTCTTTACCCTGTAAATTTCCTAATTGAAAATACATTTAATTAGTATCGCACTAATCAGGAAGATAATTGTTGATTTCTTACATTTCTTAAACACTTTCTTGATTAAAATTTTCCCAACCTATGTCATTCATTACAAAGAAAAATTAAATTTCTAATTTGGAAGTATGAAAGAGAAAAGATTTGTTCTTTTCAGTTTTTTTTAAAAAAAGAGTAAAGGGAGGGGGAAAATCATGCATTAACTCTAATCTTAGAGCACATATACTGATAGATAAAAGCAGTTACTTCAAGCTGATTATGCTTGCAGAGTTCATGGTTAGAAACCACTGGCTGCTGATTTACCAGATTAAACACAGCTATTGACATTTTTAACTCCAAAAAGAAGAATGTATTGTAGGAATGGAAACACAAAGTATATTATGAACTACAGACTATTGCACATTTCAACATAATACAGGTGTAAAATAGAAAGTATGAAAGTAATACACTCTTGTTACACAGAAACATACAAATGATTTGTGCACACAATTCAAACCATGATCAGTGGACGCCACCATAGTCCACTGGCGTAGCTGTTTAGTGACCTTTAGAAACGGGTCCAGACTGATTATCAGCAATACATTTTCTTGTTTTTGATTTTTAAAAAAAATATTTTGAGACCACAGTATTTGATACATACATATATAATTTCGTGGTCAAGGACGAACAGATGTAGTTTTGCAATTCTAAATAAAAAGTGCAAAATGTAAAAAAAAAAAAAAAGAACAAAATTAAAATTATGGAAGCATAAGCTATAAATTGTCTGCATAGCTGAAATCTATTTAAAGCAAGTCCTTGGTAAGGAGTACTGACAGAAGAAAGCAGGAAGGTTTTTTTTAAAATATAAAATGTCTTCTGCATGTTCATTAACAGAATGCAGTAATGTCAGTTGCGTAAGCTTTTAAACAATTCACAGACAGTTCACTCCTGCATCTTTAGACACCATAGTTGTTGCAGTACCTCCTTCTCCAAGGTAAACAGCTGTGCTGGACTTAGAACTAACCACCCTGTCACCCCCATTGTTGTTAATCTCACAATCCAGAGGTTCTGTGGAGATGACCCATGTTGAAGGGCGCCATCTCTTTAGGGAATAAGGCGTTTTCACACGTTTCTTGATCTTTTCGCCTGAGCCAGATTTCCCCTCAAGAGATGATTCACCCACTAAAAAGGAAGAATAGACAATGTTATCACACAGGCTGAAAAACATAAATACAATAAAGAGAACAAAATCCTGTGATAAGTAGTAGAGGATAAATATTCTTTAATCATATACTGCATTCAATCAAAGTATAATTAAAATGAAAGATTAAGTGATTTACTACCTATTATTATTACTATTATTATTATTAAATATGAAACTCAGTCAACTGAACATTTAAAAATGTATCACAGATATTATTGACTGGCACTGATGGTTGATACGGGTTGCTACCAGCATCCTAGGTATCAACGAAGTATCTTCTTAAAATGTTATCTTATTATTATTATAATTATATAATAATAATTATTATGTTTGCATTATTGTCACAACTAAAAAATTTAAGGCATTATTTTGGACTTATTCTTGAACAGCAGATCTCAACAGAATAAAGGACATTTAAAGTATAGTTTATGTTACACTGCAAATGAGAATGTACTATTACTATGAAAACATCTTAAAACAATGGAATACAAAAGAATATCAAATACTTTGGCCATAACTTCCCAGAATGTATTTTTCAGAGTATAAGACATACTCCCCCCCCTTCTCCAAAAAGTGGGTGAAAATTTCAGTGCATCTTATAGACTGAATATGGGCCTGTTTTTGGCCTCCCGAATCCTCCTTGGTCTGCAGAGTGCTTCTGGGGGCCGGTGAGGGCGAAAACGCGATGCAGGGCGGGTTTGGGAGCTTAAAAATGGGCCCATTTTTTACTAAAACAGGTCCGTTTTTGGCAAAAATGGGATGTGCAGAGCAATGCAGTGTGCTGCTAGGGAGGGTGAAAACGTGATGCACAGAGGCCAAAAACTATTTTTTTTTCTTGTTTTCCTCCTGTAAATCTAGGTGCGTCTTATAGTCCGAAAAATACGGTAATTTGTTTTGTGTAGGAATTGTTTTAAATGGAGAAGCATCAAACATTCAATTACTAAAAATTTTTTGAAAAGCACAAAAAATTATGTTGTTATTTTGCTCTAAAAATAGTATAATCTATGGAAGTTTTTTTCTGAAATATTTATTGCTGCATGTCTAAACTCACTAGTTAAACTCTTACCTCTGCATCTGAAAACTACCACACTAAGGAGACTGTTACGCTACGAAAAAACTGAAGTACACAAAAATGTTCTAAATCATGGGGTTTCTTTGATGTTTGAAATTGCAAACATAAAGTTCTAAAATATATTTAATGCATAGTTGGTATGAATGCTTCATTGAACTACAGATAGTACTTGATTAACAACTGCCTTGTACAATGACTGTTTTCAGTTATGACAGTGATGTAATAACTTTGTGATCAATGCCCACGTTTCTACCCTCTCATGTCTGTAAAGCAAAGGAAAGCTGAAGTAAAATCATAAGCACCACCAGTGTTTCACATAGTGACTACTTCACTTAATGACTGAGTTATCTATTCCAATTGTGGTCGCTAAACGAGGACTATCTGTAGTATGAAAAAGGAATTGCTCAGATCCTACTGAACTATATTGGGAAGAAGACTCCTTTAATTAAACTACTTAAACTAAATAATGCAATGTTTTATACAAATCTGATACTTGATAATCTGATACAAGATAACAAGCTTGTTATTTTATGTAGATAAAAATAAATTTTTCTGGTGGTATTCAACTAAAACTGAGGATATGTACATGCATATGTATATCTGTTCTTCTATTATGCAGCTTACTACAGGATAAGAAGCTTTCTAAAATATAAAAGAATTTTTGCTCAGAGTGATTTAGAATATACCGTAATAACATAATGAATTGGTAATGAGCCATCTACCAAGCAATGGAAGGTTTACTCAAGGCTTGAAAGCACTGTTTCATGCAACTTGAAAACATTGATACAAGATTTCCCTTGCTAATTCTTTGCCTTTCAAAGGATTTTATTATAACATTGGGAATGTATAACAAGCCAAAGATCAAATGTTTGAAAAAAATCAGTTTTGCTAAAGCACGTTCTTGAAGCCACAGCTTTCTTAGAAAAAAGAAAGCCTGCACAAATTATTTTTAGATCCCATAAGCATAAGCACATATTTATGCTTACAAGATGAAAGGATACACTTCACTGGAAAGAACAGAGATAATTTAACTGAGCTATGAGGCAGGCAGCAATGGAACAAATACAGAAATGGACATATACTTTGTTTCGAGAGGGAAAGGGTGCACACAACTTTCGTCACTTAAAATCAACATGCTTAATTCTGAAAATAATTTTGCCAAGATTCACTCATGTATCCCAGCAGAACTTACACTGAATATTACACCCATCCAAAATATTTGTGGCAGAAAGATCCAGGGAGTTAGGCCTCTGTGCTCTTTTAGTGTGGGTCGGTCCAGAAGTTGGTGCTGTTCTCTCACTGCTTTGGGTAGAAACACCTTGCTCTAGACGCAGGTTACTGTTGTTGTTGTTGGTATTTGTCCGGCCATTATCCAGTGACCGTTCTCTTCTATCTACCAGTCGATCGAGGATGCCCTCATCATGGCTCACTTGCTGCTCTCTTCTTAATAATGGCTCATGTTCATCAGGACTTGAATTGATATTCAGACGACTATCTTCTCCACTGAACTGATGTTGCAACATTTCTTGGGCTCTGTGTGTTCCTGAGCTAGTTGTTTGGCCTGATGGCACTGTCCCATTGACATATTGTGTTGACACAGTATGAGAATTTGTTGTATGGCTCCTCCCTGCCACTTCATTTGTGGTAACTGTTACTAAGTGAGGTTCTGCAGCATTTATAGTATTCATCTTGGCAACTCCAGTTTCTACTTGCTTCAAGTTTGATTTGTGCTTCCCTCCAAATTTCAGCCGAGACTCCTTTGTTGAATTTTTGGTGTTTAAGGGTAGGCTAGTAGGCCTCTTTGGGAGGTTCTGCTGTTTGGGAAGAGGGTAGACCTGAGCAGACTGAACATCTGGAATTAGGCATGCTTGGCCATTTCCAACTTGCATGAAGTCCTGTTGTCCATTTGCTTCTACTGCCAATTTTATCAGTGGGTACAGCAAACTGGAACTAGTGCTGCTAAGTGGATCTGGCCCACTGAACTGCTTCAGAGAATGCTCCATCAGGTTTTCATCAGAGCTTTCCTTTAAGTTTTTATCTACTTCTTTTGGATCCAGCTTGTTAGTTTCCAAGTCCTCCTCTGTTAGCTGCAGACAAACAGGAGTTGGCCCACATGATTGCATGCCATTTGCAGCACAAATGTTTGTTTCACCTGAATAAGGCATTTCAGATATGGTAGTCATGCCAGTGCTTGGAGTAAGGCCAGTTGTGTTGGTGGTGGTAGTGTTGGTTGACAAACTGGTAACGCTAGTCTCAGGGCTTGGAATACGAGCTTGTGCTTGCTGCCGCTCATAGTTAATGGAATTTCTGTTCTTCTCCCCAACTGTCAGTGGTGTGCTGGACACTGAAAGTTCAGATGAAATGTTCTTCACTTTACTATCGCTGTGATTAATTGAATCCTCAATGAAAGATGAGGAAGAATATTCTTGATATGGTCTGATCTTTGCGATTCGTCTATGGTGTGACAGGTTTCTTTAGGAAAACAAAAAGACAATAGGATTAAGAGTACTTAAAAGTATTTCAATGCAAAAAAGGGTATTTTAACCAAGAAGTACAATGACTGGGGACGGAACAAATTGAAGCATTGCTATAGTGCTGATATTTCACAGGTTTCCATACAAGCTCCTCGATATTTCTCCCTTTCTCTTTAGAAGCAGCATGCCTGTGTTTTTTTTTTTTTTTTTTTAAATCATGGTTTTGTTTTGATTTTTACCCCATTCCCGGCAATGTTATTAACACAGTTTTTAAGATATGAGATCCGTATATTGTAAATGTTCTTTGTTTCATTCTTTGTTTGGACTATGGGATATGGGCTAGTTAATTTAATCATCAGAGAAGATGGGAGTTGCAGCTTCAGTTGCAGTTGCCATCTTCTGAAAGAAGAAAACCTTCTGAAGCACTCTTTCAAAATCTGTAGCATTTAATGAAGGTGCCAGATATGGTTTAGATGAGAGTGCTACATACTTCTGTAAGGATACTTTAGAGAAGTTCTGGATGAGGCTGTTATCCTGAAAAGGCAAGCTGTTGGTTCTTAAAAACTTTAGTAATGTATGTCTAAAACCCCATAGTTGATTAAAACAGAAATTGAAGTTTTGATCCTTTATGGAATTGAGGTGACTGGAAATGAGAAAGAGAGGAGAAAGAATTTCTAGTCTTTTTGAGCTACCTTGGAATTTGGAGATTATGTTATGGACCTGCTCAGAAAATGTTAAAGCCTATGAGGTCCAGAAACATTCTTGTTTATATAGATGCTAGAAGGTGCTTGCTTCTGAACTTTTTAAATTAAAACATTCTTTAAAACAGAAGAGGCGTGAACAAGATATTGCCGGGCACAAAGAGAAATGCCCACAAGTACCTCAAGGTCCATGGACATCATATTGCTTATAGCTGAAATAAAATATGTCTCTCTCTTTCTGTATGATATTTTATGCACCTGAAGGATTTTGTCTGTCTCTAAGTATCCAGAATATAACAATTATGCCTGAAGGAATGAAAGATTTCAGAGAAGAATAAAGGTTGCATACATTCCTGAGATGAATGAATGATACTATTTACTTCTGATATGACAGAGGGAATCACTACAGAGAATTATTCCTTTTTTATGAACCATATATCTGATTTGCAGATCAGAAAAAGGTCACTCAATAAAAGGTACTAAGATACAGAGAATATTTTAAGATAAGAGGTTGAAATATAAAAATTCATGCTTAGGCAAAGCAGGGGAAAAGAACTGGGGCAGAGTACAGCAGAACCAAGCTGTACAAGAAAGATCTACAAATGTAATTCCTGCCTTCTTGAGCAATAGAAAAAAATCTTTGTTGGATTTGTTTTTATACCAAATTAAGGATATTTTCAACTGAAGCGATGCTATGTATGTCACTAGGTATCTTTCAGAGTAACCACAACTGTAACTGTATATAATTGTCTTTGAAATGCTTTCCTGGATTTATTTTCAGTTTCATACTGAGACAGCCTATAAAAGGAACATTGGTGCAGTTGAAGATATTTTTCTATGTTTACCTAAAGAGCACCATTATTTCAATATTGTGATACCGAGTGAGTTCAGGTTCCTTTTTTTCAGATATGTAACTAATATGCAGGTGCTGTATATGTGATAACAATTCTTAAGGAATTACTTCAGAAACAAACAATAATTACAGCCTGTGACTCATGAATAATCAGCACGCGAGGAAGGTATTATTTATTGGAAAAACAGCTTTTTCTATATATGTAAAATTAAGTGCTGGAGAAATGTGATGTTCTTGCAATGAAACCAAATTTTCAAAAAAAAAAAAAAAAAACGTGCAAGAAATGTGGACCTTGTATGGATGGATGGAGACAGACAGACAGAACTATATACCGTTCATTTTGCATAGCTGTAGACATAGGGTTAACAGTTGGGCTGACAGATTTATTCCTCTCCCAAATCATCATGAGTTCAGCCATCCTCTCTTCAGCACACTGGGCTGTCAGCCGAGCTTCAGCATCTTGATCCCAGCAGTCTTCGATTGTCTCTTTCAGTGACCTTACAGCCTACCAAAGAAAACATTTTTTCAACCTCTTTTTTTTTTAAACCTTTTTTCTTCAACACTACTGCTAATGATCAACAGTTGCATTATGTATGATTATTAAAACAGGCAAGTTTAGGAAGAGTAGTATTGCATAAGACCAAAGACTTATCCATTCTAACATTGTTTCCCAAAATAGCTCACTAGCTATTTAAGAAAAATCTGGACATTGGACAAAAAACTGTTTTCTTCAAATATTGTTTCCTTGACATTGACATTCAAACATATGCTACCACTGATCACAAAGATTTCATAAATGATGACTAGTTGTCACTAATGTGACAAGACTCTCACAACCTCAAGTAGTAAGTATATTAGAAAACTGTAATTCTGCACCTTTTGCCTATTAGTGATCCATGTATAGCTAGCATTTTATATTACAAAAATATAAGTCATCATAGCATACTTTACTCTTTTGTACTTTAATGTTTGTTACAGCACTTAAAATTTCATAATAATAGTGCTCTATTTCTAACTTCACATTTCAACAACATTGTCAACTGAAAAAAAAAAAAGCAGCATAACTTTTTTTTTGTTTTTCTTACCAAGCTGTTCTCTTTCCAGGCCTCTGGGAATTTTGGTCTTTGCTTTTCTCTGGAAACAAGGACTTGCATATCTTCAAAAGTGGGGTGGTTTCCAACTTCTACTTGGAATGCCGTTTGGAACTCTGGCACAGATTCTCCTGCTTGCAGAAAAGGGTACGTCAATGTTATCAGGGAGCAGAAAAAAATAAAACAAAATAGAGTTGATGTTGAAATGTTGGAGTCTAGCAAAAATGTATTTATTATATTGTTTCTTCTTACTTCACAGACAGGATTGGATTTATTAATAAATAAGGAAACGGTATATAAACAGTTGAAAATATTCTGAAAGTTTTAATTAAAGCTAATTAAACAAAATTCTTAATTAGTTTATAAACATTTGAAAAGCCTTCTGGTGGCATATTTCTGTCCCCCCTACTTATATTATTTAGGATGCTGATTTTGGAATACCTTTTGAATTGTAAAAAAGAAGGAACAGTTCTGGGTTTTTAAAAAGAAACTAGAAGTTTAAATACAGTGGCTATAGAGAGTCTACACAGCCCTGTTAAAATGCCAGATTTTTGAGTTGTAAAAAATCAGACCAAGATAAATCAGTTCAGAATTCTTTCTACCTTTAATATAGCATATAAGCTTTACAATTCAACTGAAAAACAAACTGAAATCTTTTAGGGGGGGAAATGCTACGTTGTAGGCAGATTTCGGATCTGAAGCATAATTTTTCATTAGATCTCTCTGATCAGAGGAAGGCAGTTTGGGGCCAGTTAACTGCACACAGTCTCTGGTTCCTCCCCAACCCCACTTTTTTTTTTCTACCATAGCAAATTGCAGGGCCAAGTCTAACTGACAAATTGAATCAGTGGGTTAAATTTCCCTTTTCTATAAAAAGTAATAAAAAGAAAAATCTGCCAGCAAAAAGGTTGCCCATCCGGTCTTATATACAGTACACCACTTGGTAAGTGGTTGGTTGACAAAATAAACTGAGCCACTCCCTCACCCCAGGAAAAATCAAAACATAGCAGTTGAATGTACTGTGCATGGCAGCAGCCATTAGGTCTCATAACTGAACAGTTAAGCATGTTCTTTGGACCCAACTGGTGACTCAAAGGCTGTAGTTAGAATTAAAAAAGATATGTGGTGCTTCCAATTATACACCATCCCCAGAACTGATTTTCATTACCAGAACTAAACTATAACATACATATCAAAGGTGGCACACCATGACGTTTTGGGTGATATGCCAATGTTCACCAAGAACAACAACTATTCTCGAAAGCATGCCTTTCCTCAATACCTAATGCTTATTGGCAAGAATAATGCTTATTATAAAGCAGAAAGGTGGATACCACCCTGTAACACTAGATGGCACCGAACTAATTTGACAAGCAAAGCAAAAATGAGTTAAAAGAAAAATCTGACAACCAACATACCTAAATTCTTTGCACTAAGGAATTGTAGGCTTTGGCTCACTTAAAGAGAGTAATAACAATAAACAAATAGAACAGTTGTTGTAAGTGAAAAAGCATGCAGCTTCCCAGCAATTCTTCTATTACCTGGGAAGAGGTCTGTACATCTCATAAAAATCTCCCAGTAGATTAGACCAAGTGCATACATATCGACTTGCTTCAAAGCTGATTCACAGTCCCTTAAATTTACTGCTCCTTCCAGCACTTCAGGGGCCATATAGCGAATTGTCCCAACCTGTAAAGACATGTTGTTGCATTGTTACATTGGCTTGGTATTTATGAAATACTGTTCGCTGTTCTTCAAGTAATTCAACAGGAATTTTTTTAGCTACATTCCCTTTCATCCTCAAGACAGCATTAACAAGAGAACATAAAGCTTCCTTGAGACCTATTCTGTGGAATCCCAACCTTATTATTTACATTTAAAGTAATGTCTGTTCTTTCCAACACATTTTATTTTGTTATTTAGTAAACATAAACCTGGTGAAACTGAAGAATTCTTTAAACAAAAGACCAGTAAAAAGAGGTGACAGTTGAATGTTAAACAAATAAATAAAATATTAATCAAAAAATAATGTTCAAATCCTATACTAATCAACAACCTGTTAAAAAATCTTAATCTTTGCATAATCTAAATTGGAAAAAGTACATAATGTAAATTGGGAACAAGAAAGAATAAAGAGAATTACTCTTGCCTCTGAAAATCGAAGTAAGAATAATATGTTTGAAGCTCATTGTTCTTTTTATTTGAAAGTGGATATGGTAAAGATTTTTCAGTGTTTAAATCCACTATTCTTAAAACAGATGCATAAACCTTAAAAGTTTTGGTGTCAACATTTCTAAGGTTCAAGAGGAGACTTCCAAAATGTATTTTTCTGTCTTACTCACCTCACTAATTGCAGCATTATCCTCTTCACCTGGGCGCACCAGTCTATTCCCTGTTAGCTTCATGGAAAGGCCAAAATCACTAATGACACATGTTCCATCATTCTTTACTAATACATTGCGGCTGTTCAAATCACGATGGGAAATGGCAGGCTTGTAATGATCTGTTTGAATATATAAATACATCGTTTTACCATTCTTACTGGCTTCTTTTCACATAATATAAAACAGAGGATGGGCAATTCAAGAAAACTGATAACACTCTGAGCAGATGAAACGCTTTTATGATATCAGTTTTATGATCCTCTTGTGATGACAATTCAGGTATATTAATGCAATTAAGTGGGAATCGTTAGGAACAATTGTTAAAGAATGGCATAGTTACATATCAATTAGGAATGCATGAAATATCAAAATCCTTCTATGTATCATAGAACTGTACTTCCTGAATATGTAATATCTGTTAAAATTTTAAACCTTAAAAAGTCATCTAACTTCCAAGCAATTTGATACATAAATTACTTAGCTAATAATATGAAATATAACTATATGTTTAATAAACTTTCTTTCATTTTTATTAGTTGCCCCACAAATTAAGATTTATAATCGTAAATCTAAAAAGAAAGATTTGAACATGTGTTTCTTAATTAATTAAAGGTTCATTATTACAAAAGCCACTATTTCAAAATCTACTAGATTTGATTAGGATTAGGGTAAACATTATATCTAACTACCTAGAATCATTGGGAGCTTTAATAAATTATTATTATTAAAAATTGTATGCTATTTTCTGCTCATTTATAAATTAGATTGCTCTTTAAAACATTATTGGAACAGCAATGGCTGCATTTTAACTTTATGGTCTATTTAAATTAGCTTGCTCATTATTTGTTTTCGTTTCCAAAATCACTGGTAACACACTTCTGTCTTCACTCAGCTTTTTTAATACAACCACTATTTTTCTTATTTATTTCTTTAAATATTATTTATTATTTATAGATTTATTTTCATCTTTTTATGCTGGAGTCACTCAACAATTAATATTTCATAACAAAATACCTTTAAAATTTGTAACAAATCTATTAATTTTTCAAATGTACAAGGACTATCGGATAGGATGGGTAGACAAATTCCTATAAAACTTGCAGGAACTTCTTGCAACTTCCCAAATGGCATCTGCAGAAACTTATGCAAAATAAGAATAAAACTAAGAGGCCAAATTTAAACACCTAATTGCTGGGTTTTTGTGAGATTTTAGATTATTTTTTTTTGCCAGAAATCTTATGAGACTTTCAATATATCATGACATCATAAGATTTCTAGGAAAGATTTGGTGTTCTTACATAATTTGAATTATTTTTTTACCTGTATTATTTACCTGCCTGTATTATCATGCAAAATCACTTAATAATAATATAATAATAATATTGCTTAACGCGTTGTAAGCAGCCCTGAGTCTCCGGAGAAGGGCGGCATATAAATCTAATTAAAAAATAATAATAATAACAATAATAATTCCACTACTTGACCCCGTTATGCTGCATGAATGGGAATATTACACCTACCTTTAAAAAAAGAAAAGGAATTCTATACACTATAAAGCACTGTTACACACAACAGTTATACATTAACCATCTTTAAATATAGTAATCATTTCTACAAAATACAGCTAGCCCTAAGAGAAGCAGTGTACCAGGTATTTCTGGTTCAAGTAAGAAAAAAACCAATTTGCATCGACATCCATATCTGCACAGAAAATACAGCCAAACAAGTAACTATAGGAGGTCGATTGTAGATTGAGCTTTATGAGGCATTATGTTGTCTTTTTCTATGAACAAAAAAGTCTACACTTTTAATAATTTTATAATCATTTCACTGCCTTAGGTCTCAGTTTTGCTTAGAGAGGTATAGCTTTTAATTAGAATTTTTCTTTTTAAAATTCTAGCTTCCATTGGAAAGGTTACTGTTTCAAAAGCAACCAACCCTATGTAGTTGAAAATATTTTACAGTCTAAGAAACTAAATATAACTATCATCAACCACATGAAAACCAATATTTCTGTCAGTATAATTAGACCATGGTCCCAACTACATATCTAACTTCAGAGGGGAATGTATGAATGGTCTACATTATTTTCCACCATACAAAAAATATTTTTCCATATGAATCAGAAAATTAGTCCCAACAAGGAAGAAGAACATGAGTGTTTTGGTATTTGTTTATATTTACGTGCAACCATGGACATGAGCTCCAGTTATTGAGAGGCTGACACACACCAATGATCACACATCTTCATCTTCAACCAATTATAAGATGGGCTGATTCAGTTTTTTTAAATCATAGTTAATTTATCTCTGATTGTCTATATATATGACACTTAAATAAAAGAGGGTAATCTGGGCTTATTTCAGTTGGGTTTCAACTGAACACTATACACACAACAGTTGGGTTTAGTGTAGCGAAAACACCAATAATATTTGTTGATGATCGTCCCAAAAGTGCTTTTTCCAAAAGGCAACTGGACTTTCTTGGTTTATTTTTTTCTTTGAAAATGTTTCGCTTCTCATCTATGAAGCTGCCGAAGCTTCTTGGATAAGAAGCGAAACATTTTCAAAGGAAAAAACTGTTTTTTTGAAAAAGCACTTTTGGGACAACCATAACCTGGATGATTGAGAATCTCCATAGATATTCATTGATGAGGTCATACCTGTCAAGGTATGACTATCTTGGTTCATCTTGATATTTCAGTAATTTTGGATAACACTGATCATGATGTCCTTGTGGACAAGCTACTGCATCTGGATGGGGAGAAACAGGCTTACACTCAATCCTGACAAGACTGAATGGCTATGAATGCATGGTTCTTTCAGTGCCACAGATTTTTCACCTTTGGTTCTGAATGGGGTGGTATTTCCACATACAGAACTAGGATGTAGTTTGGAGATTCTCCAAGATTCAAAGCTCCTGTTTCAATTGCCATATTAGATTGCTCCTCTAAACTGGACTGTTCAGTGCACCTATTCTGCAGTAAGCAAAGAGATGAATTTCATAGTCCAAATTACCCCTTTCAACTCCATGATTCTAAGATTATGTTTTTAATAATATATGTGGTCATTTCTATTAGGTTTTTGTATTATTTTTCATTTCTACATGAAATACTTTGTTTAACAATAGTTATCGAACTGTACCATAGCTTAATATAATTTAAAGGAAGACTTCAGAATCAAAACACCTCTTACCTCCTCGTGGTAATTCTGTATGAAGATATGCCAGGCCTCTAGTTACAGAATGCGCCATTCGGCAAGAGTTCACCCAATCACTAGCCTGGAGAGTCAAATATCTGCACAAAGAACCCTGGAGAAAATAAGAAGGCACTTTCTTAGTGTTTTATCTTTTACACGTGTTTACATATTCTGTGTTTCTAAGATGCCATTTCAACATTTGAAAGCATGAACGGCGATGGTAGTGATAGTCAACAAGAATAATGAACTTGTGATTACTGTTTGCTTTGGTCTTTGAAAACAAGAAATAAACACTGTCCTTAGTGAAACAGTGCTGTACAGCCCAGGTAAAATGCGAAAGCATGATGAATATCTAAAGATCAAATCAATATTTCCAATGATATTAAGAGTTTCTGCTTTACTGTTACCACAGAGAATAAGAGGGTTGCTGCAGGCTAATAGTGGGTATAGGAGAATGGAGTTGTGAAAGTCTTTTGATAAAAGTTTTTTTCAGCAGGTAGGAAAAAAAGTACTTCCTACCAAAGGGTGAACAGGGAAGGAGAATATAGTTGCAACAAGTTGCAGAGAGGGGAAGATCTCACTGGTTTAATAAAAGCAAGAGGTCCAGACAGGATTAAAACTGTTTTTTCCAGCCAAAGGTCTTCAAAAACTTTCTGTTTAGCTGCATGGAAAAACCTTTGTGGAAGGCTTCCAAGAAGGTAACAGAATGTACCAAAGTACAAGAAAGTAACTCTGCCAGATGCTCCAAACTATCAGTTGGACAGCTGTTTTGATGGGAAATGATAGTGTATCCCATTCAAAGATTCTGCCCATGTATAAATCTTATACATGGTGGAATTTTCGACATATTCCCATTTGATGCCCATTGTTCGGAATGTCTGTCACCAAGTTTTGCATGGATACCTCGCCTCCCCTTTCCCTCTGGCAGCTCCTATCGTACAAGGTTTTTCAGGCAATGGTGTTCTGGCAAGCAAAGAATATGGCCAGCTAGGCCCACTCGCAGTTCCATCACAACTTCAACTTCCAAGATCCACTCTGCTGGAAAATGTCTTCATTGGTGACATGGTTGTGATAAGTGACCTCCAGAATTCTCCATAGGTAACACTGATGGAACACATTGAGCTTTTGTGCTGTGTATGCTGTTATTGTCCATGTTTCACTGGCGTAGATTGTTGTTGATAAATAATGCTGGTAATGTTTTATAAAGCTATAACTTGCTTTTGTTATCTATTGTTGGGGCTGACCAAATAGGTCCTAAATGCTGGAATACTGCTGAGGTTTTACCAATTCTGTATTTGACATCTGTATCTATGCTGCTATTTTGTGATAAAATGCCGTTGGACATGTTCTATTGGCTGTTGCCAGTTGTAATTATTGTGTTAGGAGGGCAACTCCCAATCAACATGACTTTGGTTAGAATAACAAGGTTAGAAACAATAATAGTCAGATTACATTAAAAAAACATGCACCAGCTGCACCATCCAATGGGGACAAGCTAATCTTCATTATCTACAAATACTTTCCTGAACAGCCATATCTTGACAGTTCTCCGAGACAGATTAGAGGACAGGACAGAACAGAATAGTAAATTTGAAGGAGAATCTGTCACAAATCTCCTTTTTCTGAGATCAACTTCTGTGCCTAAATAAAAGTCAGTGAGGGCTGTACCATAGGAACTGAAAAGGCAGTAGAAATAAGATGGCCATTGTGGAAAGGTTGCCAGAACTAAAGGTCAGGAATTCAATGACACAGGGTTTTTCTTCTCCTTTTTTAGTTGTGGTTAGATTTGGGTGGGCCAAACCTTAATAATGGCTATTTCCCAAACTGACACTAGGGCAGAAGAGTCCTGAGGATCCTGGGCAGGTAGTGGAGAATTCAGTCTACCTTTCAGATGAAGAAGGAACAACTTCTGGTAGATGACAGAAAACTTGGAGGAAGACAAAAAAACTATGGTAGCTTTGCATTTATTCTTCTTAGAGCTTGCTCCCAAAGATTGATTTGCAAACTAGAAACTATGATAGGTATGTTCACTAAATGAATGGCAATATTTAGATGAGTCTATTGTGATTTTCACCAAGACAAAAAATACTGTTTATGCCTTTCTAAAAAAGGTTTAACATATGAATAGCACCCACAGATTATTTTATTTATTATTTATTAGTCCAATTTATATGTCGCCCTTCTCCGTAGTCTCAGGGCAGCTTACAATGCATTATAGCAATAGCCTGCATACTTTTTTGTATATACCTGCTTATTAGGGCTTTCGGCCCCCCCTAAGCGGTGGTGTTCTATACAAAGTTGGCTTATTGCCCCCACAGTCCGGGTCCTCAATTTACCTACCTCGAAAGGATGGAAGGCTGAGTCAACCTTGAGCCTGGTGAGATTCGAACTTGCACTAATTGCAGACAGCTGGCAGCTAAGTGCTAGCACTTAACAGCACTTTAGTCCACTGCACCACCGAGGCTTTATTGAAAAGGCAATTCAAATAATCCTTTTTAAATTAATTGTATCTCTTATCTTTATTTTCTTATAGCTGTCTGAAATAATAGAAATTACTTACATTGGGATAATATTCCATTACTAATAAATACTCCATTCGTCCATCTGCAGTGCATCTCTCATCCCCCACAATGAAGTGAGCAATATTGTCATGTTCCATCAGTGGGATTCTATAAATATTTCTCTCATTTATAAAATTCTGGCGATTAGCAAAAGAAAATACTTTTACAGCCACTGGACGCTCATCTAAAGATCCTTTGTATACAGCTCCATATCGCCCTCGTCCAATAAGCTGTGAATTTTTTTAAAAAAAGAAAGAGTTAGATTTTAAAGTTCAAGACACTCAACCTATTGATTTTAATGACCTATTTTATGTGTTCATGGTTTGAAGCTTTTCTTTTGCACACTGAATTTAACCCCCAAAGAATGCATTTTCTAATTCAAATGTAAACTGAGATGGAATTATATCTTCTTCAGATTTCTTGTTCTCACTAAATCACTCTAAATTCTTAGTATGAAGATTTTGCAATAATAATAATGTTATTAATAAATCATGTGAATTATAAAGACATAGAGCTGGAAATTGTGAATGATAAACTCACCTCCAGTAGTTTCAAACTATCCAGATCTAATGAGGGTTCTAAAGCTGCTGCTTCCATCATGTTCATAGTATGCAGGCCTTTTTTACGGATCCCTGAGGAAAGATGAAGATATGAATTATATTGCCCTTCAAATTGATCAGACTTCTTGATTTATTTCAAGAGTCCTGCAATTCTTATAAACCACAGTGAATGAGATATAGGTCAACTCACTCAGACTATCTACAGTTTTTTTGCTTTTTATTTTCCATGGCAGAATAAATAAACTGCACAGGAGACTTGGTGTGATGTCTGAATCAAGAATTATAATTAAGTGAATATGTATTAGTTAAAATTATAAGGTGGTTTTAAATCATATCTGTTGTTGGTTGAGAAAACTTGATTTGTTTGAACACAAGAAACTATAATTTTGGGTCTGTGAACTTCTCCTATTCCTTTTGTTTCAAAGCTCATACGAAGAGAAAAGAGCAAAGCAGAAGTAATATAATGCAAGTACTGCGGGCCCAATTGGCAAAAAAAAGCTCAAGACCATATAGGTTGGAAACATGCAGAAGAGGCCTTCATCTTGCAGTAACCTAGCCAGGAAACTTCTTTCAAAATGTTGCTATCTACACTGTGTGTCACATGTTGCTGAATAAAGTTCCACAATCCTTCATGGTCTATGATAGCAATAAATTTTAACTAATTCCTACAATGTTATTACTGTCTATGATGATGAGGATGTTGACAATTATAGTGCAACATTTGGAACCAAAGATTGAGAAATGCCAGAGAGCATTAATAAAGATGAAGCTACGGTAAGAATATGTAGCAATGATAATATTATTAGGGTCTAGACTTTTACTTTTTCAGGTCCTGTACTCAATGCCTTTGCTTGATATCTAGAGCAATTTTTACAAAATCCTCTGGAATGTAAGGGGCTCCAGTTCAAGTGGACTGGACAAAAGTTTTTTTCCCTGTATTCTGTGAATGTCTAATAATAGAATAGATGCAAATTGCTGCCTAGTAGATTGTAACATACTGAGGAGTTGGCAGGTTGAATATTTAAAATATTTAATAGCAAACTGAGTAACTAAAGAAAACAAATATAATAGGAATGTGAACATTATCTCAAGGAAAAATAGAGGCAAAATATTATAATAGAAATTTATTTATCAAAGCTTACCTCCTAACATCCTATATCCAAAGAAAATAATAGCCATCAAAACAGCCAGTACAGATACTGATGCCAGAATTATTACAATTGTGTCATCTCGTTGAGGAGGATCTGAAAGAAATCAAAATGTATATGATTATCTCTTCATATATAATCCATTTTTCAGGACAGATTAAATTAATATTCTGACCTGCTATCAATTATCTTGTCATTTCTCCCTCCTTTTGGTGGGAGGGGAGGTAGGAAGGTAACTTTCAAAATGCACAGACTGAAATCCAATAAGCAGAGTCCACAGAAGATTCTCTTATCAGGAGAAAGAAGAAGGGAGACCATTTTTCCTTATTTCCCTTCTCCTGCTAGACTGGAGATATTCCCTCAATTCTTCAGGGGCAACTCAGTTGTATGGGAAAGGAAAAATAAATGAAAATGGTTCAACCATCATTTTATCACTATCAGAGGCATTCTGTTAATGAAAACAGCACCCTTTCTTCCACAAATTCTAGATCTCACCTTAATTACAAATACTAATTATAGTTGTTAGTCACTTCACCCTTTCAAAGTTGTACAATGGAGTATTATAAGAGTATTTCTTTGGACTACACAAACTACATAAACAGGTGTCACAAAACTCAACTAAATTGAATCAACATGAAAGTCAACAAATTATACAATTACAAGAAACTACAAATCAATTTTCAATTTCTAGTTATGGATCATCTTATAGTGTAACAAAACAAAGAAACACTGAAAGTCATTTTCTTTACCATTGCAGGTATTTGGGCTGAACTGAATTACTATGAGAAAATATGGCAAATAGTATTTTCTGAAAGATTAATGGTAGTCAAGACAGGTTGCAAAATGTTCTATGTGGGAGAAATGTTCCTACAGTACTTTGGTCTTACATTAAGGACATGCAACATTCCTAAAGTTGGGGGGATATAACTCTCTCCCCCCACATTATAGGAAGGGCTAGGATTGATTTCTATTTGACATTTTTTGCATGTGCGCACCGGACCCCAGAAGAGCAATGGGAGAGAGCTGGCATGCCCGGAGAGATGGCTCTGTGTGCCACTTCTGGCACACATGCCAAAGGTTCACCATCACAGCCATAAGCAGTCCCACCCTTTTTTGCCTCCCCTCCAAATAGCCCCAGACTGCAACAATTTGATTCTAGAAGGCTCTAGCTTCTGTTCCCACCTTTACCTCTATGAACTGTATTAATGAAAACTAACCAAGTGTCCTCAATACAAATTCCAAAAGGAACACAAATAGAGTACATGGAATCACCTCTTTGGAGACCTAGATTATTCTGGCCAGATTAAACTATGTGTCCCTCTTCTTGCCCTTGTACTTCAGTCTTCTGGAGGAAAGATAGATAGAAATTTAATAAATAAATGGACAAATCTATTTGCCAGTCTTTACCATTTTCCTGTTTTTCTCCTTTTAAATGTACGGCTTCCAAAATATATTAGCATCTTTGAATTTGGAACCAATTTTACTTCTGTAGATATATTTCAATGCCAACTACAATTTTTAATTTAATTACTTTTTAATTTAAAGAGGAGACAGTTCTTATCTAAAGTTTTTTTCAGCTTTAAATCTAAAAAAATGGTGATGGAGAATTAACTTCAATTCCCCCCTCCCAGAAAACAGGACAGATGGTACTTTGAAATTGCACATCAACCATTAATGAAATGACTGTTTTTTAAAATGATGTTGGCAGAATTGCTCGGTAAAGAAATGTTCCCATGTTTACCAAATTACTTTGAATTATATTGGGACTATTTGGGTGTGTGTATGTGTATTTGAGTCAGTCTTGACAACTGCCAGAACAAGACCATACAGTTTTTAGGCAAGATTTTTGGAGGTGGTTTGCCATTGCCTTCTTCCTCGGGCTGTGAGACGGTGAATAAATCTGACTCATTCAGCTGGCTTTCTGTTTAAAGCTGGACTAGAATTTCTACTAAATTGGCACTCTACGGGATTAGACAAATTCATTTTGTCTTCATGTTCTTATATAACATTGAAACAATCGCAAAGAAACGGGGAATTGTGATACACTATTGGGATTTAATAAGATTATTTCATAATTAGAACAAACTCATATTTAAAGCCAAAATTAAGCTTAGATTTCATTATAATTCTAACATTCTGTAAGAATCTACAAAATAAAGGATAAATCATAAATCCATTGCAAAGAAAGGCTAGTTAAATATAACCAAGAAGTTTAACTGACTTCTTGTTGCAATTAATTGTATTTCTGGTTTAGAGTCAATCAACTGAGAAAAAAATCATTACTATTAAACTCTTTGGCTTCTCAGATTTAATACTAATTGATTTTGTCCTACAACTGACCACATTCCCTCCATCCAAAAGAATTTTGCTTCAAGAATGCATTCTGCGAAAAAGCACTGAGCAATGTAATAAAACAGAATACTCAAGTATAAAATTCAGTACTGTAAAATTAATTTAACAATTTTATAATTTGTTAACATAATATAAAAATGTAAATAATATGGATTTTTAAATGTCTATAAATTTCTTGTTCTGTTAATTTAAAAAATATCTTAAAAGAGAATTATAAATATTTAGGTTTTCTATATATTGATCCTATAGGTAGTCCTCAGTTAAAGATCACAATTGGGACCACTGTCCAATTACTAGCTCACAAACATAAAGAGATCTCCGTGTCTATGGCCATGCTTTCTGAAAGAATGCGAAACCTGTATCCAAAAATACCAAGATGACAGGTTCCAGGTATATAGGAAGAGCACAGAATTAAGGGGTGAAGGAAAAGTCCATAAGGAAAGAACTTCACTCTTGATACTTCAATACAGTATATTGTAAGGGAATGACAGTAACAGGAGTGAGTCTAGTTCTTTCCCTGTGACCAGAAACATCCAGAAGACCCCATGGTCCATCATGAAACAAGAATGAGCTGGGGAATGCCATGGTCCCACGAAGCTCAGATAACCAGTAAAAAGTTCAGTCATGCAAACCATCTGTTGTCAGAAGCAGCAGAAAACCTGTAATGTAGTCAATCATGACTGACCAACAACCAAGCTCTTTTTCTCAGTTTAAATCAAATTGTGTAGCATTACTGGTCTTTCACAAGACTCTAGTGCACGGGTGTCAAGCTTGATTGTGTCACATGACATATTGTGACATTTTTTGCCTTTGCAGAGCAGGGGTGGGCATGGCCTGCATGTGATACATCCGGCCCGCGGACCGCCAGTTTGACACCCCTGCTCTAGTGCTAGTCTTGTTTTTTAAAGATACTTTTTCAAGAGGTGTTAAATAGTGAACATGCATAAGACCAGAATAGATTCAGAAACCAGGATGCAGTTAGAAGCCTCTGTGAAAACCAGGTGCCTGGTCCCTGCTGCAGTCGAAGCTCAAATGACCACAGAAGGCAGCTGTAAGTGACCAAAAGTGAGAGGGGTAGCTACAACAGCCTGAAAAGGAGATAAGCAGATCTAATCCCACCCGATCACCAACCATGTTGTTGATGAAGTAGCCAAGATAGTATCCTCAAAAACAATATAAAAAACTAGTGATTGTAGAAGTGGGAAAAGCTAAAGATGTCTCAACTGTGGGATGAGACAAAAGCACACTGTCAGAACATAGCATTAAAGACATTACCGGATATGTTTCTGCTGCAGTTAGAGGAAAGCAAGGATGAGCCCTGCAATTTAAATAAAGGGGGTTTTATTTTATTTCCGGTATGATTGCAACTTACTATTCTCAATTTAGATATATGTAAACAGAGAATAATAAATTGCAATCATACCAATCATACTGGAAGCACATTAAATAGCTGGCAAAAAAACATTTTTCACCCATGTATGTAGATTTTTCCCCATTCTGCAGGTGCATGTTACAAACTATAGTACCTAATTGTTAAGGGGTAAGAACGTTGGGCAGTTTGGCCTATGCAAGTAGACCAGTTGCTCCATTTTAGTAGTGATGACAAAAGAATCTGATTTTGAATCTGAAAAGTATTAATTTCCTAATACTCTAATCACAAACTGATGTGTATCTTTTCCCCTTATCTTCTCTCATAGTCCAGATCATAATAAGAATATATAAATTCTGACAAGTTCTTGGCAGATACAACCTTCCAGGCAACTTGCCTTACTCCCATCAATTACCCTCTCTTTTCTATACATGTAAACACCGGGAGCCATTAAAATCTTTCTCTTCACATATACAACATTTTGTCATTGCTGTCTCAAGCTTCAACACAATACATGATAGTGACTTTAATTCTCGAGGGCAAATTTCATGTATTTAAATGAATAATTAAATACAGTTCAGCAATCTATGAAAATAAGCTTGACTACTAATAACTCTGTAACAAATGTCAAGAAGGAATCAGCTAGCTGAATTGCAAGTGCTGCTTTATTTTTTTCTAAGTTTTTGCTTTTTTACCCAGGTGTTCCATCATATATTATTATAGACATAAATTGACTTAACAAGAATTCCAAAGGATTAAAGAGTGTTTCTGCTTCTAGAGATGATAGAAAATTCCACTGGCCAAAAAGCTGTCTTCATAGCTAATTTATCTCTCTGCGGAACTGAAACTGCTACTCATTGCCTATCAAGTCTAAAACACCTAAAACACCATGAACCTTGCAACATGTAGGCTGAGAAACTTCCTTGTCTGAAAAGTCAAATTGGTTATTTCTTTATTGACATTTCAGCATGCTACCAAAGCCAACCTTTGCCACCATGCCTTCAATTTATTTTCTTGCTTTCTTTCATTTTGTAATTTAATGTTTTAATGTTTTAGAATGTCGGTTTTAACTGGAATATTAACCATGTGTTGTAATTAGTACATAGCTCCACACTGACAAGAAATGCTTATGAAAAATTCCTTACAGAAAGTCATTTGAATAGATGAATTTAAATTTTTATTGGGCACTGGAAAGTTATGGCCAATTCCTCTCATGACATTTTTGTCTTCTGATATACCCAAATCTAAATTAGAAAACTATCTTGAAAAGGCTATAGGATGTTGGAGGATATTTTGATTCCATAGGAACCTGTAATGTAAGAGTTTTTCATTTAGAAAGATGCACCTGCTTACAAATTCATTTTCAATGTGTTGT